CCGGACCATAGTAAAGTTGCTTTTTATTGAGTTTGGATAGGAACACTGTTATGTTAAAAACATGCTTGAAAATATTCTTGATCTGTCTGCATAAACCAGCACACTCTCCTTCACATTTGAATAACCTTAGAGTCCCCAGTGTACTGGTAAAAAAATCTCTGGAGTTAGGGAGGCTGATCTTTCTCTCTAGGGATTTACAGACAGGGTATTGAAGATAAATTACACATGATTCTATGTCCAGTGCATTTTAAGTTTGCTGACTTAATACAAATGGGCTAGAGAAATTAAAATAAATATAATAATTTTACACATAATGATAATCTGGAGAATGCAAGGCAAAATGAGACAATAATTTGAAAAGCAATAGTAATAACTATTTTATGATCATTATTCATGCTCAAATCAAATTACTTCTGTGTAAATTTAAAAATGAGATGTTCTTTGCAGTTTCCTTTTCACTCACCTCCTGAGTATATTATTGTTTTCCATTAATTGGAATGTATTTAACATTGTAACAATTTCAATTTCCATTCAGTTCCATCCTGTTTTTGAGCATGGAGTGAAAATGGCTTCTTTCTCCTCATTTGCCCCATTTGCCGAACACAAATTTCATTTGGGGCATTATCTCCAAAGTACTGCCATTGACTGCAACTAGTCAGTACGTGGCATACTTGGGGAAAATACTGTCATTTTCTAAATAAATTACTATATTAGACTTTTACAGGTAAGAATTTTAAGAATTCAGGAACCTTCAAAGCCAGCATAGCCTTGCTGTAGAGGGACCTTGCTGAGAAAACAGCTATGAAAAACCCGCTATATCTCTAGAACATGGACTTTCGTCAAATATCAGTGTGTCTATTTATCATACCAATGGTGTCAAATAAAAATAACTGATTATTAAGTTTAAGTGACTATCTAAATATTAAATACTACCTTGGCACATTGCAGAATATATAAGAACAACAAGGAAATTCATAAGTATATTAAAGGATTTGGGCTTTATTCCTGAAAGCCACAATTCTGAATGTTAAAACTCCAATGCTTTATAACTATAGCTCTGTAATGTAGTCTGAAATCTGGTATGGTAGTTTCTCCAGGATTGTCTTTTTTTTTTCTCAGGAAGACTTTGGCTACCTGGAGTCTTTTGTCGTTCCATATGAATTTGAGAATGTTTTTTTCCAGGTGGTCTGGTTTGAGGTAGTATCTTTTAGACATAACAGAGGTGCTGTACCCAGGATATTCCAACACTATAGTTACCTAAATAAGACCTACATAATGACAACACCAGCTGACATGCCAACCTGTGTGGGGAAATTTCATAAAGTCTTGCTCCTAGATGAAAAACTACAGGCAATCCCATCAAAGGGGAGGGGCGGGCATGGGAAGAGTTGGCACAGGGGCAGGGGGAGAAATGAAAATATTAGAGTCATTTATGAAATTCTCAAAAATAAAAATATAAAGATATACAATCTCCACCCTCACATGTCCTGCATAGTGCTAGAGAGGGTGAAAAGCTCCTTCTCTACTTGTTTTCCTTTCTTTCGGGCATGTTTCCCTGTGAAACCCAATACAGCCGTGTGGTTTCCTTTGAGAAACTAGGTGGAAGCAAATGTCAGGAAGGGAAGGTTGAATGATGGTACTCGTTTCTCCACCCCATTTAGCTACCAGGTCCTTGGCAGCATGAATTCAAAAGATGGAAATGCTAAAAGCTTGAAACATCAAAAGGCCTCTCTCTTCAGAGGACACAGGCCCAGGAAATCTGCCTAGTCCTAAGCTGACATCATGTGCATTACAAGTGAGCTTTTATTTTGAGAAGCTACTGGGACCTGAGTGTTATTGTCAGGGTGTGATAGATGCTCCCACACAGTGCAGTACAAGATAATGGAGCTCAGGAGGGTATTTATGAAGTGTTTGTATGTGTCCTTGCATATGCTTACTAGCAGATGCCACTCCACATGTTTACAGAATTAAAAGAATACAATGATGTTATTTTGATACTTGATATTCCCAGTTCCCTGAATAACTACTGGGCAAGTGCTGGAAAATTAGTTGCAAATGTGACAGCTAGTTTTCTTTCTGAGAAGAGATACAGGCTGATAAAAACAACTGTGTCAGGATGCCCTTCTCAGCACTAGAATGTTCTAAACATTGTACTTTAAAATTCTCTGAAAACCAGAAGCAACCTATTATCTTTTCTGGTTTCTTAAATTTTTTCATACTTATTATTTATCTAAAAGAATTCGTTGACAAGAAGGATGGGTGTGTGGGTAGGGCAATCGATGAGAGTCCTTGCATGTGTAAGATTGGTGACTTACAAATAACTAACAAAAAATGAAAAGTAAAAACCTCACTTTACCTGTAGTCATGTCATTTAGGACTTGAATTTCTAAGTATATTTTTGACGTAGTTAGTTAACAACACAAGTAGGTGGAGTCCACAAACTTATATTTGGAGTGTGTATTGGACCAGACAGATTTGGGGTTGTCAGATGTTACAATTGTCTGAATTGACTTATGGGGATCTTCTCAACTCTTAATCTCTAGAGATATCTCAAAAATTATGGTCCTGAAAAGAGGCACAGCTTCACAATGTATTTCAGCCTGACCTCAAACTCTTAATCTTCCCACCTGATCTCCCCAGTGCTTGGATTATTTGTTTGCTACTAAAACAGCACTCTGCCTTTTTGGTTTGTTTTCTTCCTGGATCTTGATTAACTTCCAAGAATTTCTTGACTTCTCAGCTCCACAAACCCACATAGTAACAAAAGAGTTTTCATTTTAATTATAAGAGTAATAATAATAAAGTTGACATGATTTTTTTTTTCATTTTTACTTCTGAGGCTACTGTGCAGTTATTTCCTCTGAACTGGAGCAAGAAGGGAGACTCCTAAGACATAGAAAGTAAATAAAACTCTCAAAACTCATACAGCTCCTGAAATAAGATTCCCAAGGCCTCTTCCCACGGCTGTGTGACCTGTGCCAGCTGCTGAGGAATGAAGAATCTCCAATTGGTCAAACTTCTAAGCCCTCAGAGATAAAGCATCCATGAGCCATCACTCATGCTGGGGTGGGCTTTTTGGTGATGCCAAGTCACCGTATTCCTATTAATAACCTCTCACTCATACTTCTATAGATAACCTCAGTAAACTAACTTGCTCATTAAGCTAGACCCAGACGGAAGTGGTTTATTCATCTTTTATTTGTATGTTATCTTTGGTGTCTAGACTTTGTTCATTTCTTCCCTGGAAGTCATACAATAGAGGTAGCTTAGAAAACCAAGCTAAAAACATCAAAAGTGACCTAGGCTAGTACTAGGCTTCGTACTCTTTAACCATGTTCCTATTCTTCTTTCTCTGCCTCTCCCATTATTTGAAAGTTAAGATGTTTTCTTTCTTACATTGATTCTCTATAGAAAGCAGAACATTGAACAGAGTTATTCAAGATTTAATATTATTCTCTAAAACTTTAAGATTGACAAAACTACTGATAGACACAATAAAGGGAATATATAGTGAGAAATGAAGAACACTGTCAGACAAGGTAATTTCCTCATTGATTTAACCATGGTGGAACAGGGGCAGCCTGGAGAAGTGTCTTCTAATGAGATGGTGGTTTAAGGAAAAATTGGATGTTCTCTCGTTCCTTCATGAATGATTTTTTGATTTTTTAAAAATATTTAACATTTTAAATGATTTCAAACATTTACCTCAGCATCTTTATTGTTAATTTGTAGGCTGCAAATTCTACTTTCCTAAGTTTCAATAGTAGTTGAAAACTTCAGAAGACAAAACCTTGGTTTTTTTGTTTGTTTAGTTTTTTTTACAAAGTTGTTTTTCCTCATATAAGGAGACACAGAATCATTAAATGTACCTAGCTATTTTAAACAATTTGTGCAAAGCTGTTATAATTTTGAACTTATAGGTGGGCATTTCTATATGAATGTTGCTTAGGATGTCCTGGAAAAATGCTGAGGGGAAATGCTTGTGTCTTTTCCATTGAGATTTTACAATTCCTTGTATCTCTTCCATTCTGATCTCAACATATTCCCTGGGATAGTTTGTGAAATGCCTTATCTCCTTGACCAGCATGCTTTTCTAGAAGGATTAAGAGGTGATATCTTTAAGTATAACTTTATTATCTGTATATGAATCAAGGAACAGTTATATTGAGAGATTTAAATGTTATGAAAAGATAAACTTTATGAAGCATACCTCATAAAAATGGATAAATTTTTGTGCTATCTAAAATGAAATGTACATAAACCTCAGGCTTTCTCTCCTTGATAGCTTCTTGAATATAAATGTGTGAGAAGTTAAAGTCTGGAATTCAGGAGCGAATATTCTACTCCTCACAATTATACCATTCCTTTGAAAGCTAAAGTTGTGTTTTCAACATCTCTAAATAACCCCAGGTCTTACTTCCTTGCTTTTTGCCTCCACTTCATATTTTACATTTTTAATATTTGTATTTTAACATTATATTTCTCTCTGTCTCGTGTGTGTGTGTGTGTGTGTGTGTGTGTGTGAGTGTGTGTGTGTGTGTGTGTGTGTGTGTGTGTGTGTGTTGCAGCTCAGAGGGTTAGTTCTCTTCTTTCATTATATGAATCCTGGGGATCAAACTTGGGTCATCAGTCTTGGTGACAGGTGCCTCTGCGCACTGAGCCATCTTGCTGACCCAGTTATTTTCTGAATACCCTGCAATTAATTGTTGCTGTGAGAAAATCATTTATGTATACAATCTCAATTGTAGAAAATTGCTGGGATATTTGGAACTAAAGTTGGGGAAATGCTCCATTCCAAAAAATACTGTATTAAAATGTCATGGATGCTCTTTTTCCTTCATTGTCATTCAACAAAAGACCTAAGGAACATTCTGTTTAGTCTTTCCTAAAGACTTACAAGGTTAAACAATAGTCATGCTATTAGTCGGAAGTTGCAGATGGAAGCAGCTGTTCTCTGTCTTTTCTCATGTTCTACTTGACATACAATGAGACACACTGACCTGAAAAATGTCGAGGAAAAAAGGACAGTTGAGTCCAGAGCATCAGTGGGGGAAATACAAAGTAAATGTTGATTGCAGACTGGAAGAATTGAGACAGATGAAGCTATCTTGGGAGTTCGAAGGGTGGAATGTGTTTACAGTCTTTTGAATATCCTGCAAGAGGCTGAGAGAATAAGAACAGAGTGAGACTATGATAATGCGTGTCTGATCCATGGTTCTGGGCAGAACTCATCCATAATAGCACTCCCTTCATTCTGTGTTAAACAACCTTAATTTCTCCCAATAAAAACGTGCTCTGCAGTGAACCTAACGTAGTAGGTGTCTTGGGCAAATGTCAGAAACTGCCTAAGCAGTTGGTTAACAGAGATCACAATTGAGAATCCTCAACTTCTACAAAATTTTTACTTTGGACCTTTTATTTAGTTACTAAGGCAGAAGGACCAACAGACAAGTACTAAACATAACCCATTACAGTTTTTTACTCAGAAGTAAGATTTATCTGTTAACTGATTTGGCTGATAGGACAAAGCAAAGAGGCATCTATAGTCAAAGTGAAATGGAGAACAACTAGAAATCATAGGCTTTATTCAAAACTGAAAAGAAAGGAGGAAATTAAAAAAACAAAACATAGAAATTACCACAAGTGAAACAATGCATGTTAAATTGTCCCTGCTTTGACAAAATGAGGACACATAATTAAAAACTGATTTACACTCAACCTTTAAATTTACTTCTAGGTGTCTACAACCTAAAAATGGAATATAAAACTTTCCAAGTGCTACTTATTTGTTCAGACAGAAGAAACGTGAGATGTCAGAGTGAGAGAACGAAACCGATCAGCCAAGGAATCCATGGCTTAGGTGGGGAGAAAGGTATCTGAGATATGATGAGCGATCCCAGAGAAAGGAGATGTGCTATGCTATTACACCATGAATATCTTTCCTGATAAACACTGACCCCTATGTCTGTGGGAACTATCCTCAGCTCTATTCTCTCAATACTGCCTGAGAAAGTTTGTCATTTAATAGTATTTTATTGGCTGGATATATATTCATTGGTTCCTGCTGGGCAGCTGGAGTCTAAGATACTACATCTCTAATATTAACAAAATTCCTTATTATGAGGCTTCAATGTAGTTATACTTATTGTTTCTATTTCCATTTCACAAATAACATTTTCTAGGTACTCTGGAAGGAACCTCTCTTTTAAGCCAAAGACACACATCTTTCCCCACTTCTACTTTGAGAAAACAGAAGAGAAGGCAGATTTATTATTATACAACTGGAGGAAAGAAAAAAATATTTTAGTTTTTATCCATTTTGATGAGGAAACACTCTATGGAACTGAAGTTACACAGAGGGACCTAATTGCTTCAAGGGAGCAGAGGGGGCTGTTGGATTGAAAAGAACTCTGCCAACTGAGTGTGTGCATTAGAGATGTTACCAGACATTTTGCATTCCCTTCCTTCTCACTGACTTCTGTTCCTTGTGTTTGCATTTGGTAGGCAGGAAGAAGGATTTTATATTTTGTGTGTTCTTGAGAAAGTGGCGCTATGAGCTGCTTTTGTACGTAAAGAAAGGTAGACCTCCAGACAAAATAACTACAAATTTTCCTTTCCAAATTATGAGAAAATTACCAGCACATATTCCTTCCCCAAGGGAAGAAGAGGATGATTGCTTATTTATTCTACCTTGTTCCATAGAGGATTAAGACAGTTGCATAATGACTTTAAAAGAGTATTTTCTGACCTGTTTTTGGTATTAGCTACTGGAAACATTTTTCTGCCAGTATTGCCAATGTTCCTTTCTTCCAGCTGGTACTGAGTCTTCAGAGATGTGTGAACTAAAAGAGCTTCTAAGCATGGATACCAGAGTTTCCAGTTATGGAGGCGGATGAGGAAGGGGGAAGGGAGGTAGAGCAGATGGTGTTTAAACAGTAGTCATTTGAATATGAAACGCACGTTTTCCATTTTAATGTATTTGGATAATACTACTCAAGCTTTTGTAAAGCGATTGGTGATTTACATCTGAAGTAAAGGAAGTACCAAATAGACTTAAATTTTCTGAATCAGTCATTTGAAATGGAGCATACAGAGAGAATGACATTTACAAAGACATCCCATGTGCTCATGACTATACAAAGTCTGGTCTGGCATATCTGTCAAAACTTGCTTATTATGCTAATACTGCTTTGTTAAAGGTGAATTACACTAGCAGTCTGGGCAATTTACTGAAAGCAAAAACTTAAAGTAAACTTGATTCATGCTGTAATATTTCACCCAGAAATTTTACATTATTTTGACTGCTACTTTAACCTAAAGATTAAGAGGTCATTTATATCTATCTGGATAATTCAATGTATTTATAGAGAAAAGTGATGGTGCTGTTAGAATTATAATGAGTTATCTAAAAGCAAGGCAGATAGCAAGAGACATTTTAAACAATTCATAAAATATAAAAATGTCTAAAATATGTAAGTTGTGGCCAATAAGAACTGAGAAGGGTAAGATTAATTATCATGCAGATGGTTAGAGTTTTCTAAGCTTTGAAGTGCCTCGGAGTATGTGGTAAATGGGGATTGTAGCAATTTAGTGGCTCAAGGATGAAAAATGGAAAGGGAAAAAACTGGAAAGGACAAGTATCCTTAAAGGGAGACAACACAATGTAGCTTAGAGATAGTCTTCACATCAGAAGATAAAGGAACAATTTTGTAAACACAGTACTGTGAGTTATAAGCTAGTTGTAATTTGTATTTTAAAAGGCAGAACTGTGTGTTCAGGGGGACTCAGATTTAAGAGACTATTTGAGGAAGATCAATGTAACTATTATTTGGGTAGATAACACAGGTCCTGTGGGTGGCAGACATGACAGTGAAAAGGAAAGAGGTGATGACACAGATGAGGACAAAAGGATTAAAGGCCTATGGTCTACACGGAATCACCAGTGCTTGGGGCAAAGTAGGTATCTGGAAAAGTAGATTTTTCCAGAGGTGACCTTGTATCTTTTTTCATTTTCCATAAAATAACAGGATAAACAGTATCATCTCTGCTATATTAATGATTATATCAAGCTTTCAATTCATGATAGCAGATAATGTCAACAGCAAGAGCCAACTTACTTAAATTTCTCCCCCTCCCCTTCTTTGTATTCTCCCTCTCTTTTTGAAGCAGGGTCAAGCCTGCACTACAATACCTGACTTTATGCCTTCTGGGGATCAAATCCAGAGTACTTGGGCAGAATCGCCTTCAGAATCTACTGAAACAAAGCTCCCTTTGTTAAGAACGTTCTGTTCTTATGCTTATGAGGACCACAATGGCAAGAATGTTTTGCTTTGCCTTTTCACACGAGGCCCAACCCTTCTGGAAGTTCATTTTTATAAGTGAGAGAATGATGCAGACACATCTCTATTCTATGCAGAGAACATCTATTCTACTTTAGAAAATTAAGACAGCCACATCAAATAACTAACATATTATTTCCAAAGGACCAAGCATCTGACAAGGGCTGCATTCTGATTCTTAAAATGAATAATTTCACAGAATGTCAGTTTCAAATAAAAATGTTTTACATATTTAGAATGTCAGAGAGAAGATATAATATTCAATGACTATTCTAGGGCTTGGTATATTGCAGTGACTTTCTCATAGAGTTTAGATTTTTTAGAGGGTTGGGGGGAATCATCTTAAAATACTGGAAAAGCTCCTATTAATATTTTTTTGCCTAAGTATACAGTTTAGTTAATCATTTTACATGATTAAATAGAAACAGTGTTGTTTATTCATTACAGCTACTAGTTAGTTGATAAGAGATATGATAAATATGTAATATTTGAGATGAAAATTGAGATGATGGTCATAAATGCTTTTACCTAAATTTGAGTTACATTAAATGGAATTTAAGAGTATTAAAAAGCATATTGAATTGATTAATAATTGAAACTAATCATCTCATCTAGCCCTGTTCTATCTTTAGTTCAGGGAGTTTTTCATTGTTGCCTATAGGTTGATTTCCAACCCACAGAATACTGATAGAAAGAAGGGTGAAATTTTATTATGAGGTTGTCAGAGACCTTCAAGCACTTCCGATGTCAGGAGGCTGAAGAATGTCTGCATGTTCCTGGGGTGATTGCTGAAGTGATTGGGCTAAGGAAATGGCACTGGTGCCAAGTAGGGAAGTCAGTTCTGAAGTGAGGGGTGCTGGGCAGCCAGAGTGCATGCTGAGTCCTTAGTCAATTCTCCTCTGTAAAACAAAGGGAGATCCACACTTATTCTGCAGTCAACATTTATAGGGAAAAGTTCAAATTCCTCAGAAGGATAGTAAGATGACCACAGTTAAGATTTCTAGGCTCCCTCCAATTTTATTCTCACTTTTCACAGTTCCAATCATTTAGCCTCACTGTCTCGTGTTTGTTGTGTTGATTTATGTTTTTCTAACTCCATTGTCCTGTAGTCATTTGTTATAAGTATTCAATTCATACACCTTAGTTCTGAAATACTCCTTTGATTTCTCAAGTGAATCTGTTCTTTGTTCTGTAGCAGCCCCTGTACATGTCTATCCTAAGAACAAATGAGTGGGAGAGGCAGGGACAGAGAAAACACCTTATTCTCCTGCTGTGGTATTGTGAGGGAATTCAAAGCTGTTCTTGAAAAGGAAAGTTCAGAGATACTTTAAAAAGGAAGTCATATTTTTTCTTTAAATATTAGAGAAACTACTCCAATATTTTATGGGCAGCTACCAGAAAGAATACAGAAAATAGTTTTGAGGAAGATATTGAGAGTTAAAATGGCTCTTGTCTAAAAACTTTTAAAATAAACTAGAGGCATTCCTGTAATTCAGAATAAAAAAGAAGCAATTAGACTTATTAGATGTTTTGAGGATTATTATTAGATTATTAAGATTTTTTTGAGGATACATAAGTACTGTATTTACACCACCTCCACCCTCTGTCTCCCCTGCAACTAATTCCATGTTCTCAACCATACAACAGCCTCTCAAATACATGAGATCTTCTTCTTTAATTATTATTGATTGTTACACACACACACACACACACACACACACACACACACACACACACACACACACCATGCATCCTTTTAGTGTTGTTCCATGTGTACATGTATTTTTTTTGTGGAATATTTAATCTCACTGTGACACCCTGAGACTATTTTAATATAGTTAATCAGGAGGTGGAACCAGTGACTAGTTGACAAGAATCAGTCGAAGAGCATATGTAGAGTATACATAGTACCCAGGATATGGATACAGAGGCACAGGAAGGAATACAAAGGGACTTGGAGATTTGCATACTTTTTGGGAGTCCCTTTTTTGGTCTAGGAAGTGTGGAGAGAAGGCAAGCTGGTCACTCCTCTGCTGGTTCTTTGATCTGTCAGGTTTTCATCCAATATCTGACTCCCAAATACTTATTGGTAATAGAATACCATAGATAAAAAAGTAACATCTGGCGCACAATGCAGGGCAAGAGATCATTCAGCAGCTTCTGAAGCCACCACTTCTCCCCACTGCCACAGCCATTCCTTGGTGGCTTCTCCCTCCACTGTTTCCCCTCCCCCCCAGCCCTGCCTAATGGTTGCTGACTTCTCCTGCCTTGGTCCCTTTGTGTCTGTTCCCTGGGGCCAACTCTGTATACATCCACTGCGTGACACCTATTCACACTGCAATGATATTGCTGCTGCTCATCCTCCACATGTTCACATGGGACATTCTGTTCCTGCACACTTCTGCAGATGCTGCAGCCACAGCTGCCCACCACCTTCCCTGTCATCCTGTCATCATGTCATTCCATGCTCGTATGTGCCACAGTCTTGCCTCCCACTGTGCCCCTGCCATGCCCCCTCTACTTGTCTCCTGGGCACCTGCTGCACCAGCCTGGCTTCCTGGGCAACCCACCATGCCCCTCCTAATTGTATCACCCTTCACTGCTGTAGCAGCTGCCACTGCTCTTAGCAAGCTGAAAAGTCAACAGATTTGGTAAAGACACCTGGGAAGTCTAAAGGAAAATCTTTCTCACCTTAAGAATGGGGAATATCACAATGCAGGGAGTTAGGACTCTGTATAATGCCATAATGGATGGCTTGAAAATGGGAAATAATAAATGAAGAGGTAACTGACTTAACTTGGATTGACCTATAGTGTCAATAATAATTACCATCAGTTTGATAATTCATATGTAACCTTAAAAAGTGGTTTGATAACTGTGTCAAATATGAAAAATTGACTGATAAGATACAAACCTTAGAAAGACTTACTAATGAAAATAAGAAAAATACTCAGACACAGATAGAGGAATTTAGATCAGATCCCACCACACCACTGCATGATGAAACTGAAGAGGGTTGGCCAAAGGTTATTAGAAAACCAACCTTAGTTTATCTAGTTACTATACAAGAATGATGAGCAGATGATAGGGACCCTCAAGGTAATGCAGAAGCTACATGGAATCCTATTGAAATGTTAAATTTGAAGAGATTTGAGGAAGTAATCATTTCATATTGTATGCATTCACCCTATGTTAGACAGATGTTAAATTCATGGGCAACTCAGAACAGAATTATCCCCTAAGGCTGGAAAGATTTAGCTATAGAAATATTGGAAGCTGGTCCTCAGTTATACTGGAGAACATGGTGGAAAAAGAAAGCTAAGGCCATGGAACAATGAAATATGGCTAAAGGGATTAATATTTCCCAGGAACAGCTTCTTGGGGGCAGGCAAATATGCTGATTTTCCAGGACAGTTTAGATTTGATGGTCACACTTAAGCCTCATGTTGTCTAGTAGCTTTGACTGCTTGGGACAAAGTTGAAGAATCAGAAAGAGACCTGAGTCATTTATTAAAATGGTACAGGACCCAAAAGAAGCATTTACTGTTTTTTTTTTTTTTGTTTTTGTTTTTTAAAAAGAGATTGACTTCAGCTGTAAATAGAATAGTATCAAATCCAGAGTCAGACAAATATTAATTGCATCTGTGGCTTTTGAAAATGCTAATTCATAATTTAAAAGTATGACTAGGCTTTTAAAAGCAATATCTGCACTAATAGATACAGGAGTTAAAAGGGCAGCTGATATTGGATCTCACACTTGTGATGCTACTTTGATAGAAATGATTTCTAAAAATTTTAAGAAAAATCAAAATATCAGATATCTTTAATTGTGGTATGCCAGGTCATCTAAAAAGGCAGCGTAGGCAAGGGGTTCCTAGAAACAATGTTTTTGTTTTTTTCTAGAGAATATTCAAAGAGAAGGCTCCAGCCTTCTGGAGTATGCAGAGGCTCCAGTCTTCTGGAGTATATAGTGGGTATGGCAAAGGCTGGCATTGGACTAATGAAGGTAGATCAACATGGGACAGCAAGGTAACTCTTTGTTATTGGGTAATGCCTTAGAAGACCACTCACAAGCCCCAGTATCAAATTTGGTTCAATCATTGCTTGTCACCATTGCAGAAACTCATCCACAGAAAAATTAAAAGACTTAAGACATGTTTTTAAAAACCATATTGTTCTGGATGTGATCCAGGACAGAACAGCTTCAGTAGATAAAATAAAAAATTCAGAAGAGACCATAAAATGAGTATTTTGGGAGACTTATATAAATGATCAATACCAAAGCTAAAAATATGAATAAACAACACTATAATTGAAGTTTTATTGGACACAGGCATTAATATAATAATAATTTCATCAAAATCTTGGTATTCAGATTGGCCTCTTCAGCTCCTAGGGATTGGAACTTCATCTCAGGAAAAATAATATACAAGGTGGGTCTAGTGTATATGGACAGAAGATCAGAAAGGAAAATTAAAGCCATATGTGGCTAACACCAATAAATTCATTGGGACATGATCAGAATCAAACCATAAAATAAAGAATGCTTCTGAGAGAAATAGTAAAAGAGGTTATCAATAACAGTCATAGAAAGTCCAGGTTGTATCTAAGCATGTTTCAACATCTGTTGGTCTTTCAAAGGTACCAACATCTCTACCTATAAAACGGTTAACCTACAAGCCTGGATGGGTGGGACAATGGTCTTTGACATCAGAAATGTTATAGGCACTGGAACAGCTGGTACAGAAGCAGCTAAAATCTCAACATATTGAAAAACTGACAAGTCCTTGGAATTCTCCTACATTTGTTATTAAAAAGGAATCTGGAAAATTGAGAATGGTAATAGATCTGAGCTGTAAATAAGGTGATCCAGTCAATGGGCTCTTCACAGCCAGGAATTCCTTTG